CCAAGGCAACTGACCATATGCCTCTTTGTATGAACCCTGAAGTTGCTGCCGAGCATCTTCAACTCCACGCCATACTTGCGCATAGTTCAGCTCAAGCCCAAAATCACGAAGAATGTCTTTGGCAATTTCTTTTGGTTTGTGGTGTGGGTTATCTCTTAACCTATCCTTAATAATATTCACCAACCAATTTTTTTTAGCTGGAGTACCAGTCTTTCGAGATTCACCATCACAAGTATGTGCTTCGTCCATCCTTTTAACCCTAAACACACCATCGGACGGGACCCAAGATGCATGAAGCTTCCAAGGACAGCCTTCTACTGCACATACGGCATAAGCACGATTAGTGTCATTCTTTCTTAACCTATAACCAAAGCGATGTGCAATGGCATATTTCTGTAGAGCATCACGGAATTCAGCCACACTTCCGAAGTCCTGGCCTTCACCAGTAATACCATTTTTCCAAAATTCAACCAGTTCATCCGGTGAAGCATCACTAGGAGGAGCAGGAGCCAGGCTCATGTTATCAGCTACCGCAACAATATTGTGTTTCCTGGCAACCTTTTTCCGGGATATAGATTTTCTGGTCTCCTCAAGATCGTTGTCAATGCTCACAATGCTAAGACCATTTGCACCACTTCTCCACGAGGCAGTGCGCCTTCGTTTCTTGACGGTATCAGCAGGAGAAGCACTCATATCAATTGTATCTGTGTCAGTTGCATCAGCAACACTGACCTCAAAAAGACCATCAACAATGTTACGGCCAGCAGTACGTTTAGCAGCTTTAGTGGGGCTTCGGAGTGTTGCATTGACACCTGCAACAGAATCAGAGGGGGTTGCTATACCGACAGTAACATCCTTCAGGCCAACAGCAGAGCGAGTAACTTTGGAAGTAGCAGGACCCGCCGCAGAGGCAGCACCCTTTTTCGCACCAGTTTTCCTGCAAGTGATGACTGATCTTAATGAAACTGTTGATTTTACAATTTCCGCAATATGCACAAATACTGAGGCAAACCCAAACTCATCAAAGAACATGTTTTTTCAGCAAATTCTCATTTTCTCTTGCTGATGCAATGATAATGCATGACCTTATAATTTAAGGTGACAAAAGAAAATAACAGTGACAGCAAAAAAAATCTAGAAGATGCTGGTAACTGCAGGTAGAAAGCAATTACCTCTTAGCTTGCGTGCCAAGATTCGCAGGAACAAAGCCTTTTGTCCCTGTAAGGAAAATATCTGCGGTCACCGAGTCCTCATGAAAGTCATACATCCTTTTTAGGTCTTTGTCATTGGACAAAGTAATTAGAGTTCTCCTGTTTCCAGGGAGAAAATACTTCATAGTCAAAGATTTATATTCCAAGTTACTTTTTTCGGCTAATTTGTACTTGAGATCGTCGAATGCTGTCTCAAGACTGATATCTAAGGCATGTGCCTCTCCTCCAGAATATGACAAGGATCCATCATCCTTCGGCACAAATTCACCGCCATGCTGGCAAATCAAGATCAGCTTCCCCCGCACCATTCCAAATCGCTTCTTAACTTATACAAACAAGTTTACAAATAGATTACATAAACTCATAAAATAAATTACAAGTTTTTAGCTGTTACACTTGCTTTACCAAACCAAATTTTAAAATCATTACAAACTATACATAGCCTACAACCATCATTACATCAATACTATGCGCAAGGCAAGCTATGGGGTTGGTAGAAATCCAGCATAAAAGGAAATTGACATGGTCCTTTAACCATACAACAGTCAAACATGAGCTAGCAATTTAGACCAAAATGCTAAGTCTTTATTAACTTAACTAAAGTGAAAGACACAGATTTTCATTGCCGAATCACCATCTCATTCTTCAAAGGCAAACTTACAGTCAGTACTATGTAGTCGAGCTAGTTAAGCCTCAAACAACATAACCGCAACGTTGTCTTAAGACATCAAACCAAGACAACCCACATAATGATTTACCATTGCAAGAAAAAGATACACAATTGACAAATTTATATATATATATAATTTATACTACTAAAACCTTCAAATTTACAAGTAACATCAGGTCACTAACAAGTATTTTTTTAAAAACAAGTGCTCATATCAACCCAAAGCTTATTTCAAGATGAAAAAGGCTTTAAAAACCAAATGGATCAACATATTCCATTGCTAGGGAGCTCAATTTTCTTCTTCTAAAAACCAAACAAAGGGTCATGATAATCAGATCAGCAAAAACCCACCACGAAGCATAACTTTTCAACGGAAACCCAACGATCTAAACAGGAAACTAAATCAGATTTTCGACTCAAAATCAAGGATTCCCAACACATGCAAAAGAATTAGAACAATCAAACAAAAATACAGCATTCAAACCCAAAAAGAAAACCAAGAAAAGAAGAATTAAAAGGAGGAAAATTGAATGATAAAGTGTAGAGAGAGGGAGTGAAAGGGGAAGAATTTACCAGAGAGGCAAAGTCAGGGGCTTGGAGATGGAGAAGAAGAAACCCTAAAGTTTTTTTTTGGGGGTGTTTTTTGAGAAATTAGGAAAAAGAAGAGTGAGTTATCGAAAAAAAGAAGGGAAAGGGTGTGATGGGTAAATAAATAAAAAGTGGGGGCAACGGGGGGGGGCAGCGCTGGAACAAGGACAAATTTACAGGGGTTCTTTTGTAATTTAAGAAAATATATTATAATATTTTTGTAAATCGCGATGGCAGAAGAGTAGTTGAAAATTGGCATACATGTTGTGTGTCGATATACAAGCGGAAAAAAATTAAAATTAAATCCCTTCGAATCTATGATAAACATTCAAAATTTGGGATTATAAGATATAATATTAGAAACAATTAAAATAAGTAAAAAAATAATATGAATACCATACAATTTATTTTAAGGGTAAAGTATGTAAATGGTTATTCGATTATAATATGTTGTTTTGTTGAGTCATTGACTATTGATAAAAAGTTATAAAATAATCTCCGACTATAAGACGTTGTTTTGTTGAGTTCTCTAACTATTAAAAGTTACAAAATGATCATTTGAATATTCATATGTTTCAAATTCGTTATTTTTCATTAAGAAAATTGACAGCGTATAAGTTTGATGTTAATTTACTGATTTAGATATGATAAAATTTGATCTCATAATCCCAAACGACTATACAACTCAAATAGTTATATGATCAAATTTTATCATACAACTTAGACGATCGTTAATTTTTTAACGAAAAAAGATGAGTTTGGAATATATGAATGAATAATTAGATAATCATTTTGTAACTTTTAATAGTCAATGGACTCAATAAAGTAAAGCGTTATAGTTTGAGAATCATTTTATAATTTTAATAGTAGAGAGATTCAACAAAGTAACATCTTATAACCAGGAGACCATTTATGTATTTTACCCTTATTTTAAATACAATATTTTGTGGGGTAAATTCTATAGTTCGTCACTGTACTTTACACTCTCTCCTATTTTACTCATCATACATTCAATTTTTCTATTTTGCTCATTGAACTTTACAAATTGAATAATTTTGCTCACTCTATCGTTATCTCTCTAACGTTGTGATGATGTGTCATTTTTTATTATTATTTAATATAAAATAATTGAAAATATAAAGTGTAAATTACATCGTTCTTCACTGTATTTTATTCTCTCTTATATTTTGCTCATCCAACTATAAAATAAAAAACAGAAGATGATCAGATGTCACCGTCGACACTGTAGATGGTGACCATTCGGTCCCAAATTTCATGGGTCGCTTCACCTCGGCACTTTGAGTCCGAATCCGACCTCCATTTTCTCGGAACTTGCTCCGAAGTCCACGAGTTAGAGATTGAAAGTGAAGAAGCCGAAATCTTTCAGTCGAGATTCATGGATTTTGGGACAATTTTCGGTGAAACAACCACCATATTCGGACTCAGGGGTCAAGACGAACCGACCCATGAAATTTGAGATCAAACGTCCACCATTTACGACGGTCGACGATGTTCGAGATGGGGAGAAATAAGATGATTCAAAATGACGTCGTTTTGGTTTATATTTGAGTTTTTCAAAACGAGATCGTTTTGATGCTTGTGTCATGTCATACCATCGTTAAAAAGTTAACGACTAAGTGAACAAAATAATTCAATCTGTAAAGTTCAGTGAGAAAAATATAAAAAATTAAAAGTACAGTGAATAAAAAATGAGAAAAAGTAAAATTCAGTGAAAAAAAAGACATAATTTACCCTATTTTGTGTTTAAACTAATGATGTTCAACTTCCAAATGGAAACTTAATTAAATGGTACCTTAAGTAACTAAAATATATATTGTTTAATTTAACGAATAAAAATGTAAAAATATAAAAAAATATAAGTAACGAATATAAATTAAATTTGATGTCAAGTTTTAATTGAGTTACGCCGAATTTAAGACGTGTTTAATAATTTTGAACATACTTTCGAATTGATCCAAACTTAACTTTAAGCTTTTTAAATAACGAGCTCAACAATAGGCAGACCCAAATCAAGCTCTAGTAGGATAGGATCAAAACGGAGTAAGGCCCAGTTAAATGGTTTAATCTCCAAAGGAATCAAGCAAAGGTAGGTTAGGGAGTTGAAACTTTACTTCAACTCGGGCGTTGAGTTGAAATCGTTTGTTGGCAGAAAGTTGCTCCATCTTTTATTCTGTTTTTCTCCCATTTCGTCCTTATGTTTGCATGGATCTACACCCAATTGGTTGATTTTTCTTGGTTGAGATCAACCATCAAATTTTGTTGGTATAATTTTCGTCTTCTTTCCCCTTAAAGATTTCTACATGTTAATCTTTCTTTGCTCATTATGCAGAATTTACTGGATTTCCATTGCTATAATGGGTTTGTCTTGATTTTTCATTTAACTGCTTCTTTAATTTGATGAGTTTATGTTATATTTTTAATATCTCGGGTCTTGCTTAATTCCATATAAAGAAACTATCTGAATTTAGTATTTCATATGTTCTTTTTGTTATTATATATTGTTGATTAGGGAATTTCTCAGTTTTCTGGAGAAAAGACAACTTTTGATTGGAATTTGGTCTTGTACAGTTGTTCTTTGCAGAAACATTTGGTGTTTGTTTGGGAAAAGAAATCTAAGAAAATGGTATTTGAAGCAATCTCTGTCCTTATTACCCCTTCGCTAGATTGTGCATGTAGTAATTCACAATAATTTAACAGTGATAAGAGACAAACTTAAAATTTTATGTCAGTGGTGCAAATTTTTAGCAAGTTAAATTAAAATTTTAGGGGTGTGAAATTATATCATAGATAGAAAATACCTGAACTATGTGTGAATTTGAAATTTCCATGGGTCTAACCTCACCCTCTCGGTCTATCCTTGATTATGATAATTTGGTTCCTATTCCGATTAGAGGTAGTTGTTAAATGCCAGGTTTATCACTCTAGTTTTGTCGATGAGGAAGGAATTACTAAAGCTTGTGGCTTCCCTTTACTTCCTTTGAAAAGTCACATAAGGGGTCCTGCACCTGTTGCAGATCAAGGTTGGATTGATCAGCTTCATTGGATAGTTCTCGATGTTATACCCATTCTTATCTTTTGAGTTGGTAATTTAAGATGGTTTTTTTGCAGGTGAAATTGATATTGTCGATGAAGCAATCACATTCTTTCGTGCCAATGTGTTCTTTAGAAACTTTGATATCAAGAGCCCCGCGGATAAGCTCCTTTTATATTTGACATTCTACATAAATGTGGCTTTGAAGAGGCTTGAGGGCTGTAGGACGTTGGCTGAAGGTACTATGGCAATCATTAACTTGGGCTTGGAAGACATTCCCGTACCTAGAGAATCTGGTTTTCCTTTTCCAGGGCTCTTTGTGCTTCCACAATCTCAAAAGGAAGCAGGTAATTCTTTTACATTTCGAAATATCATATAAAATACATAGATTATTGAAGTGTTGGGTAATTGTGAAGCATGTTCCAAGTATCATAACAAGTCGCAGTGAACTCTTTTAGTCAGTTAGTTGCCTCTCCTTTGTACTTGATATTTTTGTTGTAGATCTGTAGACATTAATTTTTTCATATTTTTATTAATATTATATTATTATTATTATTATTATTTATAATATAATAATTATTTTATTACAATTCCGGGCCCAACCCGGATGACCCAATATGAGATCCAAACCCTTTAGGGTTTGTGACATTTCAGCTAGGGTTTTCCAACCATAGCCCCAGCCTCCAATGATCCAGAAGCCCAGCCGCCGCCTCTACCGACGTTTCCTCTGCCAGATGCCACAACACCCTTCTGTCGACGCCTTGCTGCCATGATGCTGCCCCAAGGAAGACTCCAGAACGCCAGATGGCAACCAACAGCCATCCCTACGGTGAGTCACCAGCCTAGCTTTGGTGACTCATCGAGGTTTCGCTCTCAGGACCGGTCCAAACAGAACTCCGTGGTGGCTATAAAAGCCACCGAATCCTGCAAAAGAAAGAAAGCAGACACAGAGCAAGAACAACATAAAAGAACAGAAAAAAAAAACAGAGAACCACGAGAGCAACTAAGAGAACAGAAGCCAAACGACACACAATAAATAAACCCACAACAGCAAATAGAAAGAAAAGAAAGAAGAGAGAAGGGAACTTACACCGAGGAGCCTTTACGAGCCACCAGAAACCGAAACGTTTAAGAAAAAGATCCTAGATCTACAACGATTGGTAAGAGTTTAGGTTAAAAAAACTTTAGATTCGGGTATAGAAAAATAGAGACTTCGATTTAAGGGGGGTTTTGTAATTTTCGGCCACCGGATACGGTGACCGACGGTGGTGCTGGCGTCGGAGCAAGGTGGCCGGTCGATTTCCTTCATCGAAGAAGGCAGAGAGAATTTTTATCTCTCTTTTTAGAGAGATTTTTTATCTCCCTTTTTAGAGAGAAAAAGGAAAGAGAAAATGAAAGGCTTAAAGCCATTCTCAGCCGATTAATGGGTATTTAAACCCCTCCCCGAACGACGTCATTTTGGGGAGGGGGTATCTCTGTAATTACCATCAAGGGTAAAACCCTTTCCGTGGCCTTTCTATGTTTATATCTTTACACTTTGGTCACTAAAATCAATTATTGAGCCTTTCAATTCGGTATTTAAATTTTATTTTCTTTACATTTTAGTCCTTACCCGTAATTATATATATTTTAGGATAAATACCTTATTTAGTCCTCTAATTTTATTAGTTGATATTTTAATCATGAATAACAGGTTTTAATTTGTTTTAATTTAATATTTGAATTTGATATTTATTTATTTTAATCCCTAAATTAATAAATTGGTAAAATAACATGTTTAGCCACTATATTTTTAAATAACTAAATTAGGGTATTTCAATAGTATTTTAATTATGTTATAATTTATTCATTTAATTTTTAATACTTTTATTTATTTTATAATTTTATTACCTTTTATATTTTAAATATTATTTAGTCGCTATTCGTATACTTACATATTTACGGTAAATACCTAATTAGTCCCTGGTAATTTTAATAAATTTTATTTTAACCCGAATAAATATAAAGGCTAAATCACACTGTTAGTACATATTTTTTAAATAATTCAAATTAGGATCTTTATGTTTTATATTTTACATTTTAGTTAATAATTTTTAATAATTTTCATTTTTGTATATTAATTCATATATTATGTATTTTAATACTATAGTTTTAATTTTCTTTTAATCATTGTTTAATTATATTTAATTTTGCCTTTATTTTTCAATATGTTTAAATTCTTACTTTAATTATTATTTTTTTATTTTCATATTAGTCATAAATATTTATATAATAAGTGATATTTATTTTATGGTATTTTTAGATAAAAATTCTATTTATAAATTTGATTTTATATAAATCATATTGTCATATTTATTTTTTATACTAAGAAAATGATTGTCTTAAAGTACCTAAAAGTTTTTTTTCTAATATTTCTAAATAAACAAATATCTTACTTTTATAAATTATATCTATTTTTTAATTATTTTTAGATAAATGTTTTAATATTTATTTATTTTTTAATATTAAGAAAAGAGCTGTCTTAAAGCACCTAGAAGTTCTTTTCTGATATTTCTAAGTAAATAAATATCTTATATATAAATACATTAATATATTTCTTAAAACTATATTAATAAATTTAAAGGATTATGAATTAAATATATTTTTGAATTTTTTCCAATAATAGAGAATTTATAATTAATAAGTACCAATTTTGGGTATTGTGGGGGTGTTAATCCTTCCCCAAACGTAACCGACCACGAATCCCTTTTTATTATTAAAAAGAACGAATTTTTGGTTAAAACGCAGAACAGTTATCTTTTAACTGATGTTTTATTAAACACTCTTTTAAAAGATAATTTTTAGGTATTCTACCTACTTGACTCAAAAGGCCGATGGCGACTCCCAAAACATTTTAAAAACCATTTATTCATATCATTTTTTTCGCCAAGTAAAATTTTCGTGCCAGGACGAAAACCAGTTACGACAGCTTGGCGACTCCGCTGGGGACCAGTCAAACTTTGAAATTAATTATAAATTGTCTCTATCGATTAGAAATTAAAAATTCATATATTTAATTTATAATATTTTCTTTTTAAATCTTTTATATATACTTATTATTTTCATATATATATATATATATATATATATATATATATCTTTACTTTATTTTCATGTATTAAATTTTATTATTATTTATTTGTCAGAGGTTTGAACATTTCTCCTCACACACATCACTTGCATTACATAACATAAGCTTTAAAATCAAGCTTGTCCCTTTTAAGTGGGAGTGAAAGCGACGTCTTTGTGAGAATTTATTCTCCGTGTCAGACCTAGTAAGTAACTTCCGGGGTTCATATGCTCTATGTCTTCGTGAGAATTTATTCTCCGTGTCAGGCATAGAGAAATGTGTCCCCTCGAATTGAACTCGATCCGCTTAAGTCTGTGATGGACTAGGATTGAGGGTTTGGCAGCTTAAGGGGGCACCAATAAGGACAGTTCAGGTACCTTTACTTTTAGAACCAAAACCCTGCATATAATAAACCCTAGAAATTCTCCTGATATAAGACAGTACTGAACTCTGTCCGTAGGTGTACACAAATGAGAAATAAACTCTAGTTTTTAATTTAATTTATTTTATTTTTCCTGAATAAATGCATGCGAACTAGAAATCATGCAGTTAGGTTAATTTTTCCAAACAAAGCATGGAACTAGAAAGCATGAAGTTAGGATTTATACCTTGATAGATAAAATTTTTCTTTCCATTAATTGGTACTAACCAATTTATTTTTTCCTTTTTATTTTTCATACATTTTGTTTTGCTTTAACCTATTTATATTAATTTCTTTTGGTTGCATTGCATGATCATAGCATAACCAAAAGGTGTTGGCTTGAAAGACTGTTCATCAAATTGGAAAGAAATCGTAAATGGACAAAAAGTTTTATGATCAAACAAATTACGATGCGACCAAGGAAAGACATCCTGAGGAAACTCCGAGGATGGAAGCAAGCAATGCACACAAAGATCCTGTTATATTAATACCAAAAGTACTCCACAAAGATCCTGCCAGATTGATACCAAAAGTAGTATATGGTAAGAGCATCAGTCAGGGCATTCAGAGTAGAGGAGGTTTTTATGAAGCTCAAGCATGTTATTTGAAGGACTTGAATGACCAAAACAAGAAATTGAGCACAGAAGTGGAAATCGTGCATGAAGATTTCCAGAAGGTCAGTCAAGCCTTTCAAAATATCAGCCTAGGAAACATTCCAGAAGAATGGATAATAGGGGCCACCAAGTTGAAAAAAAACTGCAACATATATGAAGATCTAATCCAAGAACTTCTTGGACAGAAAGTTTCTCTTACAAAGGAAAATGAGCAACTCCGAGAAGTGATACAGAAGATGAAGAAACACCAGATTGTCATGGAAGAAGCTACAGTCCAGACAAGCAATATGACCCATAAGTTGATAGACCAAGCTGACTTTACGAGGAATTGAAGCAGACTGATAATTCAACTGTTGAGCATGAATGGAAACTAACTTGGCTTTAGAGAAGTTAAGAGGGAAAGTTATCCCCTATATGTAAAGTTTTGTTGAAGTTAGAACTGAAAGTTGTCCCCTACATGTAAAAGTTTTGTTTGATGCACATAAACTTTTGTGTTCAATGAAATCTGTTCTAAGATGATCACTCTTGAGTAACACTTTTTCATACATGCATTTGCACTTTGCATCTTTGCATTTTCATTTATACTTTTATGTTTACTTTTGTATTGTACAATTTGCATTTTTATTGTTACATTCACATATTTACATTTGCATTTACATTTACATTTTGCATTTTTTTTCATTTTTACGTTTGTATTTACATTTTTATTTTTGCATTTGCATATTTTCATAATTACATTTTATTTCAAACTATTTTACATACATTCAATCATGACAACGTGGAATAATTCGTGGAGAATTCCATGACAGAATTTTTGAAATCAAAGTGGAGCTAACTTGGTCTTCCTAAATAGGGATAATAGCTATAAATGAGATTTTAGCAATGGTTGGTAGAATCGAGAAACTACAAGAGCAACTTATCAAGACTCAACAGGATATGATTGATCAAGTAAAAAAATTCCAGGGTGAACAAATGGCTCAAGCAAAAAAATTCCAAGATAATTCAAAAGAGCAAATGACAAAACTAATGGATATGGTGAGTATTGTGATCCATGGAGAGAAACCCTTAGAGGATCCTGTTGTGAAAGATTTGAATGGGATTATGAATGATGTAGCTGATGCAATAGAAACAAATGACCAAGAACTCGTCAAGAGATGTGGAAATCCAATAAAGCTCCCAGAAAAGGCAATAAAGATCAAGCTA